TTTTTTTTTCCTTCACTAGCTGACTCTACTAAGTTTCCACTCCACCCTCACTAAATTTCTTGGGAGAGAAATTTGCACTTTGATTACGTACATTTGTCAGCTTTCTCTGGAATGAGGTGAGAATGGCTGATCCTGCTCTAGGCATTGCACCTGTTAACCTCTCCTCTTGAAATATCTCTGGACACTTCCTCAGGCTGAGAACATCTGGGCTTTCTGCCACTAGCAAATGCCTACAAACCAAACCAAACCAAACCCAACCCATGGCCGACGAGTCGATTCCTACTCATAGCGACCCCCATTGGGTTTCTGAGGCAGTAAACCTTTACCAAAGTAGATTACCCAGTCTTGCTTCTGTGGAGTGGCTGGTGGGTTTGAACCACCAACCTTCTGGTTAGCAGTCAGGTGTCTTAAATGCCTACAAGGCTGATTATATACTACTTCTGCCCTTCACCCTTCAGTTCTCAGCCAGAAGTGGGGTTGTAAAGGGTCAGAGCCTGTTAGAAAGATTCACTCAGGCTAGAAAAGGACTTGAGCTTCTACCAGGGCAAGTCTGTGCACTAAGCCAACGGTGCCTGAGTAAACTGGCCTATCCAGTATCTCCTGCCTGCCCCCAAACACACACACTCCGCTCTGCTTCTCGAGTTCCCTCTCTCAAGTAGGGAAAACTGAGCAAGGAATAATGAAGACAGATTGGACCATTAGGGCCAGCGGGTCAGAAGCTAATAACCTAAAACAAAAGAGGCTGTAAGCAATTAGATACATCTAGAACCTCTAACCTCTGCGGCCTCAATTTACTTGGTTTGGAGTGGAAATAATTAGAAAAAGTATTACAGGACGACGACTTGCTGTTTCGGGTTTGTTGGGCGGTTTTCTGTTTTGTTTTGAGCACGTATGCCTGACTAGCTGGATCATCTCCTAGATACACAACAGCACGGAAGTCTGGCCAGGCTTTGCTCCCGAGACCGACGGAAGGAGGGAAACTGACTAATCTGGTACCTACTGAAACAAAAATCATAAACTCCATTGAAATAAAGAGCATTGCTTAAATCTCGTATGAGTCACTGAAATAAACTTGTCCTGTGCTGGCAGAATTCAAGCCAGAGCCTTAGTTTGGAGCTCAGAAGAGGATCTTTACAAAATTACCGACCTAGATTAGAGCCTGCAAGGAAAGTGCTCACATGTCAAGACCATCTGGTCAAGAACTGAGAGATGCCCCCCGGGAAAATCTCCTTCCTGGGCGCGGCCGAGTCCTGCAGCTGGGCCCAGAGATAAACTGCCGCGCTCTCTGCCCGGGCGCTGAGCTCTGGCTTCCACCCCCACTCGGGTTGCCTGGGTAACGAGGACGCGCTCAGAACAAGCGCAGAAGGCGGGCTCGCGGCGCGGGCTGGGGATCCTTGTCCAGCTTGTGGGCGGTGGAGGCGACCGGCTGCCAGCAGCTCGCCGGGGAGCGGTCTTTTAGCCAGGAAAGCGCAGTCCTCGTGCGGCTCTGCGCTCAGCCAGTGAGAGGCCGGGGGTGTGGTGGCGGGAGGCGGCAGTAGGTACTTAAACCCGCGCGGCCCACCAGGTCCGGCTGCTTTTGCATTCTGGTGGGTGTACCTACACCGCCGTAGCCGGGGCATTGCAGGGAAGTAGGGCGGCCACCCGGCTGCAACATGGTGACCTCTTGCTCCACCAGCCCCGCAAGCCCCGCTGCCCGGGCCAGAAGGCGGGATAACGACCAGAATCTCCGCGCCCCGGTGAAGAAGACTAGGCGCCTCCGCCTCTTAAGGAAGCAGCCGCTGCAGCCGCTGAACTCGCGCTCGCTTCCGGGAGACTCTGGCGTTTGCGACTTGTTTGAGTCTCCCAGTTCCGGCTCGGACGGCTCAGACAGTCCTGCGGCGCGGCCCTGCAGCCCCCTGCCTGGCCCCACCCAGCCAGGGCCACAGCTAGATCTGCAGACTTTTCGCGACTATGGCCAGAGCTGCTACGCCTTCCACAAGGCGCGCGAGAGTCACTTCCACCCGCAGGAGTCTCTGGCGCAGCAGCCACAAGTGAGGCGCTGGTCGAGCTCGTGCCCCCCGCCGCTCTTCCTCTCCGCGGCTCTATCCTTTTCTGCTCTGTTCTCTGCGGCGCCCACCCAGCCCGTTGTGTCCCCGCCAGCACCAGACCATTCCTGCCCCAAGTCCGACCGGGAAGGAGCCTTGGAGACCGCGCCAAAGGTCTCATTTTACAGACGGAGTAAAGTAGGGCCTAGAGGGCTTAAAAGATCCGTCCGAAATCTCCAAGCTGGTTAGTGAGGGCACGGTAGAGTGCAGAGAAGTTAACAGTTTCCAGGTTCGAGAGCCCGGACTCCTACTGACCTCGGGGAAGTTGTTTAACAGCCCCGAGCCTGTTTCTTCATCTGCAAGATGGGTCCCCACTGATTTACTGAAAGGATTAAACGAGGTCATGCGTGTACAGCGCTCAGCACAGCGCCAGACACGCATTCTGGCGTCCCAGCTCCGCCAGCGCTCTTCCGGTTGCAGCGCTGCCGAAGTCTTTCTGAGTTCCCATTGCATCTAGCTTGTCCTTCCTTCTTCCTGGGAGGTTGTCTGGGTCTGCTCTGTCCTATCGCTCCTCCTCCCGCGGCCCTAAACTCAGCTGTCGC